GCATGTGTAAGAGAGGGGGGGGGGGGGGGGGGGGGGGGTACTCATAGTCGTGCATGCCGTAGTCGTTTGACCATTGACCTCTCATCCCTACAAAGCCGGGACGGATCCAGAGACAGTTGTAAGCACAGTGTAACTGCCTTGAGGAAGCTTGGCCATTTTAACACAACGTGGTGCGATCATCCCCCGTTGCGCGGAGTGAGGGTTCTCGACCCCGCACAACATGATCTACTCGACCACCATTATGGTTACCGCAAAAAAAAAAGAAAAAAAGAAAAAAGGGGCTCAACAATAGGAAAACAATAGGATGGAGTTTGAGGAGTTGAATCGGCGGAATTCGGCCGGGGAGGAGGGAGAGGCGAGTGGAACTGGAAGAGGGGTAGACAGCGAGACGCGACAGGGGTTCGGTAAAACAAAGAACGAAAATCGCTCGCGCGGTGAGCGATATTGCTCCGTGGTGTGTGGGGTTACGGAATGTTACATCTCCGAAGGCTTTGGCATCGAGTGCGGTCTTGCGCTCTTTTTCTCGGAGGGTGCTTAATCTTCGTCGTCCGTTCGGGGTCGGAACCACCCTTCCGTTATGTGTTCGCCCCCGCTCACTCCACGACGGAGGATAGTAGCACGGACAGCCGTTGTCTGCACCATGCGCGTGGTGCCAACGCGGTCCGATCCAGCCGAATGGCTTGGCGAGCAACAGGAACGCCCCTAACCTCACACCCAATCCCGGCTGCGTTCCATTGTACCGTTCGTTGGCAGGCGGAATCTTCGGGCAATCGCGTAGGGCCACAGCGAACAGATCCCGCCTCCCTGGCTGCCGGGAAACCTGCCGGGTCGCTTGGGTGCACAGCCGTGGAGAAGGACGGTGGGGACGACAAGCCATCAATACCCCCGAGTGGGCATGGTATCACGAAAAACAGGGATGGCTGTGGGGGAGGCATGTCCGAGAGTCGGAGCTTAAAGGGGGCCGCACCGGATGAGGAAAATTCTAGCGCAGCCGCCAAGCTCCGGGAACGCCTGGGCCGTGATCAACCGTAGGGTCTTTACCTTTTTCAAAGCGTTTGTGTTTGTTGACGATGTCGTGGTTGAGTGACAAGTAGCGTTGTTTAGGTTGGCCGTTGAGCAGTTTTTTATCCTCTCAACACAGCCAATCAGAACGCACGGGTTCACGAGAGAGGGGGGTTCCATCCCAAACGCAGCCCGATAGAGTCGGTCACGTCGGAAAAATTGTGCACGAACGCACTTTTATTACTACTGCTGTTAGCTCTCGGCGGAGGAAGCGAGAGGAGAGATACACGTTTGGTTTTGATTTGGGTCTCGGGCAAATTTCTAGACTGGTGCTGCTGTGTTTGGGACGGTTGGGCACGCAGCACTCAAAGACACCACGCACACGGAGCCAGGCATAGACAAAGGGGGAGGGAGGCACACACCACAGCGAAGGCGAGACGGCGGGAGCAGGGTGTGACCTATACTATATCGCTGCTGTTAGCTATCGGCGTAGGAGGCGAGAGGAGCGATGCACGTTTGGTTTGGTCTCTCGGTCGGTCACCGCTTCTTGCTTTTTGCAGCGAGCGGCGGGAGTTGGCGGCAGCGCCAGGCGAAATTTGGTTGGTGTTTCATTTGAGCATTGAGCTTTTTTTTTGCACGATGCGCCTCTGAACACAAAGAAAGGTCGCCACACCCATCCCCGTAGAGTTTGTCCCACACTAGCGCCCTCGCCAGGTCACGGTACAAGCCAGCATGACACGACGACGTTTTCCACAAATCTGATGCTGTGCAGGCTTGTCTCTCTACACAACATTTTCCGGATCATTTCCTTCCTGCGGCCCGCATGTGTTTGAGGTGCGGGCCGCATTTTGCCGGGATCTTTCTACTATAGGCATACTTGGCCGGTCGCCCCGGTGGTCTAGTTGGTATCCCCGAAACCTTCTAGAGGTCAGGTCAGGGGTTCGAATCCCGGCGTAAGCGAGCTTTTCTTGCAAAGTGAGTTTTTCTCTCGCTTCCGCTCCTTACCTAGTGGATAGCGATCGTTTGTGTGTACACAGTGGG